TATTGCGATCGAAAAGATCCACGACAGGTATTATTCAAAAAGGGTTAAATTTTTTACCCAATTTCACACCAAAGTTTCTACTAATGTATTGACCATTTCCCGATCAAATCATCATGTTAGATATAGTAATGACTTGTTATTCCCGTAATTGTATAATTAAGTCCAGGCGTTTTGTATTTTAGTAGTAGACATAATTAAAAAATTAGCCTTTTGGGACTACGTGTGACAGTAAGGATTTTGTGGTAAAATTATCGTTGAATATTGAAATTGCGGCGTTGTTTATAAAGTTGAAATAACACTTATCTTTTTTTATTGCCATTATACAAAGCGAATATGCGAAGAAAACTGTGTAAAGTTAAATGCCACATACAATTTTTACGGTCAAAAGTTCGCTATGTGTGCGTTGGGAATAACACCAGAAGACAACAGGTTTCATTTCAAGTATAGTCAGTATAGAAAAAAAATAAAGGTGAGTAAAGGACAAAGACAGATCTAGGGACTTCATACAAAATCACTGACTACTAAATTAACTTCATATATAAATGACACCCACATACTGCCTCTGTTCGAAGTCCTGCAGTTTGGAAACTGAAGTGCAAGATACCTGCCGACGTTGATCGACGGAGGAGTCAAGCCAGACTCGAAAGTCTGATTACCTAAAATCGTAAAGTTTGAAATTTTCTCCAATAGTTCGGTCTTCCTTTTCAATTGTATATCCACGCACAGTTCTTTAAGGCTTGCATTCATGTCCAGTTTGGCTAAAGATTAAAATTATGGAGGTCAAGGAACCAGGTATTACACTTGCTGCCATTTTGTTCTACTTGTGCCCAGTCGCTCCTCGGCCAGAACCTGCCTGCATGGTAGAATGGGTTCCCAGACAGTGATGACAGCCTAATCTGCGATCAGCAATCACGATCGCAGGCTAATGATAGCTTGGCATTCTGACACACCGCCACCCAATAAAAATTCCTGCTTGATTAAAACTGTAATTTTTATTGTAGTCCATATGAACGTATTATTCCGCTTACGTAAATCTCACAACACCATCTTTTATGCAACATTTTTCGTGTTTGTCAAACATTTACCCGTCTATTGTTCATCTCAATAATGTCATGGAACATTGAAAAGTTAGTGTTTAGATTAATTTTCTAAGTGGCAGACAAAAATCAAAGTTTTAAGCCACCCAAAACAACAGTTTAAAAAAGAATAACAAAAGGAAAACAAAAAGATAACTCAGACATGTACTTTTTTTAAAGTGTAACTTTAGAGTAGACTTGTCAGTACAGTCCAAACATCCTTATTATTAGAAGGACAACGAATGTTTGTCCCTTTCATGCCATTTTTCAGTCATTTTACTGAAAGTTGACTCCCTACAAGACAGACACCTCTCTGTGACGGAGACAGTTTAACCGTCCGTCTTAGAGAGAGACAATATTTGCACAGACCCCTATAATCATCCAGATGTATGTGCTGATATTTTTGAAATGCGAACAACTTTGGTTCACTATATAATATACTTACTCCTAACTAGTGGTCTTTGTCTTCTGTAATGGTCTTTAACCAAAAAACCATTTTGTTTTTAAAGTCCACCAGTTCTCTGAAAAGAAGAAAACACATGTGCATAAAATCTAACTTGTCTGTAGTTCAACTTATCTAAAACGGATGAGAAAATCGTGAGTTAACATATTGTTTTCATCGTGTGCGATCAAATGTAAGAAGGCAACATGAACAACTTCAACTTCAACTTTATTCATTCAATTTCAATATACATATTCACGATAGCTTCCACCCGTGTATAGGAGAGCCTAATCGAGGCGGGGAAGAGACACACAAATTTAAAGAAAGGAAAGAAAAAGAAATATTTTACAAAAATACCAGCTGTCGCAAAATAAAAACTATAGTATGTATTAAGCTAATTTACAACAATATGATTTACACAGAGAATATAAGTTTAGTCGTGTTCCTGAGCTACTTAAATTCAAGTTGATGCATGATTTCGACAACATCAAGCAAGTCCTAAGATCCTGTCACTAAAGACGAAGCAGCTTGCACTTACCTGTACCAGTAAGTCGACATTATTTTAGTAGGATTAACTGAGTGTAACTACAGAAACCAGGGCACTTTGAAAAGATTTCTAAAGCTAGTTAAAAAAAATAAGCAGCTGGTATTTACTTACATTGTGGTATAACATTTTAATTCCTCTGATGTGGGGAATTGAACCACAGTAACTGGTTCTTCAGAAGTTATCATCTGAATTTTGTCCATCATATAATATTGTTCCTCTGTACTCATCGTGTCTTTTATTGTGTTAACAAAGTGTTCCCTGTTATCAGACTAAAAATAAAAGTTACAAAAGACTTTTGTGAACCACCAACCAAAGTGTAAACAGTTCAGAATTTTTCTCGAGGATCAATTTCGAGTGCAAAAATGCAGACTTGCAGACTGGCAGGTAAAATTTGTTCTAAAATGCTTTAATTATTCAAGTACCATTTTCCAATTCTACTAAGCAAGCGATTATGGAGATCACTGATAATCTGAAGGCCTCTATTGACAGTAACCTTTTATCTTGTAGCCTCTTCTTAGATTTGTCAAAAGCATTTGATACAGTGAATCATCAAATATTGTTAGATAAAGGTACAGTGGTGCGAGTTCCGAACCAAGTCATGTTTAAAAGCTCCTTAATCCTTCGAAATAAGAAGTGGAATGACATCATTATTTCAACCCTGACCCCTCACACCAGTGTGTATAACTACAAATAAACTGTTAAAATAACCCAGGTTAAGAGCGAAATTTGAATTCAGATATGAAAGCTTGAAAAGTAAATTTAGTTTAATTGTTTTTTTTTCAATAAGTTGATGATAAGATGCTCTTAAGAATAACTACACTGTAAAACAATCCGTATTTTTGCGTATTCAGCACGCCGCGAGCAGTCAAACAAAAGATCGGGAACGAGGTTGAAAACAGTGAGCGAGACTAAGGAGAGACACTAAGAGTACGTCTCTATCGCCTCACACGGCGTGTGAGGCTCGCACGCAAGACTCTTACGCCACACTTTACCTTTTTTTTTACTGATTTTGAGAAAAAAACCCGACTGTTTTGCAGTCTAAAGAATAACAGAAGAAATTATCCGAGAAAATGCTTTTGAACAAAAGGAAAAGAAACCCGGGTTAAATTTAACCCTGGGTTAAGCGTTAATCGGCCTTTAAACCACTGGGTCCACTACAGCTCTGAATTCATTAGCAAACCAGTACTCCCGATTCCCCCCAAAAAACATTCTTTAATATCCTTATATCGCATGAAAATGCCAGCACAACTAAATTACAGCATTATACTTTGAACATTTACTACAGGGACATAGTTTGTTCTTTTTTAGCGGCAAATGAACAATTTCTTTTTCGTTTTTGAAACACGGCAATGTTTTTGTAGCTTTGTAGCAAAATTGGCTATGAGGGTCAACCCACGCTATAAATTTTAACAGAAGCATGTTATATGCTTCTGATTTTAACCACTACAAATTCGTGCAGCTCATACCTTCATTTCTCGGTGTGAAATTCTGTCTCCAACCATATGTTCGAAATTAAAAAGTAACAGGAGTAAAACTGTCACATATGTTGCTCCTTGAACTGAAGCTTTGGCGCATTGTCAGCACTCCGGCACAAATCACCTGACGAGTGCTCGAAGACTTCAACATGTGAAACTACTCACACAAAGAGTTTGAAAAGCTATTTGTGTAGTTGGATTATTACTGAATTAATTAGAATCAATTTCCACGTGAAAACGTCCCTTCCACCTGCTCTGTGAAAACCTAAACAATGCTCACAACAAAGTTCGTCATGTATGAAGTAGCGTAAAGGAAAAAATAAACAACTAAGTGCAAGGTTTTTAACCCATAAAAAAAAGTTGCCTGCGTGCAGACGTCTCCTATTTCCTTTGTTGAGACGTCTGCACGCAGGCAATAAAAAAAGGAGCTTAGCAAATCTGAGGTAGCTTATTTTAAAAATAGTAAAATATTCCTGCTTTAAAAAGGAGGTGTTTGTGGCTTTGAGCATTTTTTTGTAGTCCATGCTTTTGATTATCATAATCAATGATTTTCAAGATTACTGATTCGACACGCCAGAATGTTTGTCATCTCTTGATTGTTGCCCCTTGCTTGTTAATTAGTCCACGCCATTGTCTCAAGTTAACCAATTGATTAGCAGTGAACTACCAATAAGATTTGACATCATGGCTTTCGCGCTCGACAACCAAAAATGTGTTACCGTTTTAATCGAACCACTTTCAGTTTACCATTCAGCGAAACTACTTTCAGTTTGTCTTGTCTACTAATATTTACCAAATTTGCTGCGTTTCGACTATAAAACCGCAAAACCCGTTAAAGAAGAACTGAAGAATTGAGCAAACGGTCTTACACGGAAAAGGTAAAGGGGAGAAACTTGCTTCACAAAGTCACTGCAATGCGTTGCTGAAACCTTTGTTTATTTGTCAAGAAAGTTTCTTGTAGGATTAGTCTAACCAAGAGTAAGCTGACTCGGTAAGTCTTTTTTTTTTCATAAACAAGTTTCTACAAGAAAATCTATGGAACAATGATAACCTGAGTACCATTGGTCAAGAGTCAATCAAAAATTACTGATTCAGAAATGATTACACTTCACCGCTTACACATGCGGTAAAATTACATTCACTGGAGCCCTGCATTTAAAGAACAGATTATTTCATTTCATTCAGTCTATGTTTATTTATTTTCTATACTTTTTTTCAAATGAATAAATAACGGTTGTAAAATGTTCGACAATGTGTGCTCGTACTTTGTAAATGATATCCAAAATAAAGCAACTGAAGCTAACTGAATTAAGCGCTTTTATATAGTTTTTCGTTAAAATGATATTTTCATAGATTCGCACGTTTGTGGATAATGAACTCGAGGAAATCTTGTAACAATCGTAACACAACTGTTTGTAATTGAAACTTTAATTCATTCTCTGTATACAGTAACAAGTTATCAATCTCCCCTGCTATGGAAACCACTTCACCTCCCGATATGAGACATATGAAGAAAAGCGCCGACAAATTAATGGATTTGGTAATGTACCTCTTTATGTTTTATTATTCATACACCCTACACTATTTTTACCATTCGAGAAAAAAAACTTAAGATGGCTAGTGGGGGAGAACTATACGTAGAACTATGCTAAAACAGAATTTTACACAAAACTCAAGTCAGTCCTTGGAACTTGAAATATGATCATTTAAACTTTATTATAAGCAACTTGCGCTGCATTCATATAACATGAACGCAGAAACCTGTTAACGAAACAGAGTAATCTGATCTGTTTTTGAAGAAGTCTCACTCTAGAAGGGGATATCATATTGGGAACTAGGAATCTGCAATAAAGTCCTTCGTACTTTATCACATGTAACATGTATAGATGGTTTTCACAGTGACGTCATCAAATTGTAAAGTCAAAATAGCGAAGTTTTACGAATTCTCATTTACACTGGGTTGAAGATAAACAAAAAGTAAATCTTTGTACAAGTTTCCATTCCCGTAGCACGTTTCATTTCGAAAATACAGCAATTTGAACTTCCCAGTTTTCAGAGTGCGTGATACCAAAATACTAAATAGGAATGTTGTCTCGTTGAAAAAAGTCTGCTCTCTTGATTTTCATCAGTATAACCGTTTCAAGTAGTAGAAGATATGTTTATGCACACGTATGGTAGTTCTCGAGCGAAAACAAAGAACTTATCAAGAGTTGAATTTAATGGTTGGATTCTAAAAAAGAATTAGTCTAAACAGAGAAAATTATCCGACAAAGTGCTTTTGATGGGCTCCAGATCTCGTGAGCCCACGTTTCTTGCCGCTAACCAGTGACGTAGCTTTGGTATTTCGTTACTCAGAGTAAGTCGGCGATAGATGGTAGGTGGTTTTTTTTGTAGCTCCTCCTCTTCTTCTTCTTCTTCTTCTTCTTCATTTGCTCTGATGCTTTAGTTCTTGGCACTTTAAAAAAACTTTGTCTCTGTGTAAGTCAATTAGAAAACATGTTTTCGGACTGATTCGTTAGCAGTTTGTGTAATTTTAGTAGACGCCAAACAGTAACACGGACAACTGCTCCTCCGTCGACAGGAGTAGCATAAGCTTATAAATCTTTATCTTACGTCTGTCTCACATTTCGCAGCATTTCATGGGCTACTGTACTGTATATTAACTAATACTGAGAAAGTTTTATCGTTATAACTTACGTGTTGACCTAGCCTTTCTGTCGATTCAAAGTTTTTCGAGTTAACTTGAATTGAAAAACCGGCGTGATCATGCAGTTCTTTTTCGGTCAGTGTAAAAGCAAGACTGCGGACTGCGGACTGCAGACTGCGGACCAGGGTAAAATGCAGACTCAGTGTAAAATGCAGACTGCAGACTGAGAGTAAAACGCAGGCTGGGGTAAAATGCAGACCGAGCATAAACTGCAGTCGTGGAAGGGTTTAAGGGCAAAAACATCCATAAAATACATGTAAACGAACACTACTTGACAACATCTGCTTTCACAAATCCATTTAGGACTTTCCTCTCTAGAACGTCGTCGACGACCCAAAAACATAATCGCAATCTTGAACCTTTTTTTTTCTGTCCGAGAGACCTCACGCTTCAACTTTAGACGCCGAAGTTTTCGATATACTTGACCAGGGACCGTGAATTGGTACAACACCACGATGTTTACGCTTAAATGAAAGCTGCTGACCCAAAATACTGTACAGGAAGAATTATGGCGATGAAAAAGGGAGTAATTAAATCATTCCAACAACAAAGAAAGATGTTCTGCAGGAAATTTGGATGACCTTCTATGAAAGTATTGCAAATCAAGGTACACAGACTTAAGGATGTTCATTGAAACTTCAGGCGAATGTGCAATTTGCACTTCGACTAGGAAGCGATGTGTGTAACTGATACCGGCTAACCTTTTCACTGATTTGGAGAAGAAGGAGCACAAATGTTTAAAAACGTCTACAGTCTTTATTCTGCATTTTGCACCCAGTCTGCGTTTTACTCTCAGTCTGCAGTCTGCATTTTACACTCAGTCTGCAGTTTACCCCTGGTCCGCAGTCTGCAGTCTGCAGTCCGCAGTCTGTGTTTTACACTGACCGGTTCTTTTTTAATATAAGCTCAATTAGATTTCCGACCTTCATTTGAAAATCATTCAAAGCTGCCGCTGCTTTTTTTCTTAATTGTCACAGTCTGTGAGTAGTCAACGAGAATGTTTTCCTATGTTTTCTTTCTCTCAGAGGTCAATGGCTAAACGCCGAGCGGCGATACTTTTCAAATTCAATTTTTAAAGCAAGAACCAGCTTACAAAAAAGAAGGACCGATCGTAATGAAGGATCTAATCAGCAATAAGTGAAAATATTAAACAAAAGAAGCAAGGCTGATTTTAAGTCGGGAATATATATATATTTTTATAACTGTCAAGCATGCTTGACCACTGCTGTGCATGCAGATATCTACCACTGAGAGTACTGGTTAGTCACATTTGGAAAAATTTTAGGGGGTGTTTAGGTGAGAAAACTTGCACCAGCACGAGTTTCATACCAGGATATGAATTTTTGATTTTGTATCGCGTTTACATAATGACTGGGTCATTTCATATCTCGTTATTTGAGGGTACACGTCATGTTGACAAAGTACACGTGTGATTCAAAATCACAAATGTTACACATGCGCTACCCGTTCCAGTCTACTGGCAGACTGATTTCACACCGAAACAGGTGGCACGATGACAAAATGAAAGTGTTCTTAAAACGGTCCGTCTTCCACTTTGGAAGTGCAAAGTGTCGGTGATTTCTTAGTAAATATGGAGCCTTATTGGCTTCAGTTAATAGCTTGTTAAGTTTGTTATCCTTGTTGCTGAGGGTATTGGTAAAAACCTTGTCACATATGTCCTCGTAATATGAAATAATGGTTGGAATACCAGCTTCATTAAGTGCCTCGTCATAAGACAGATTGGGGCAAATGATCGATAATGCCCTTTTTTGGACCCGCACCCGCTCACACTATAAATACTTGGGCAGAGCATAAAAGAAAACAGGCGCTGATTAAACTAGGATTGATCTTATACATATGGCATAAAAGAGGACTAAGTTCTAATCATGTTAATGATTTATACATTGCCTTTACCAGTTCCTATGTTTTTTCCATGCCAGGACTATATTTTACATCAGAAATGCTATGTTTTTGGTAGTTACAGGGTGTAAAGAAAATCATTTTTACAGCTTGCCATTCCGGCAAGCTGAAGCTAGCATTAATAGCCCAGACATCCTTTCAGCTAGTCAAAAACGTTTTGACTAGCAGAATTGATTTCACAGGTCTTCTGTTAAACCTTAAATGGAACTTTCTATATAGAAGCTATGCAGATTTTAAATGTGGAATAAATGGAGAAAAGACATAGTTACCACGTAGCCTATACATATAATTTACTTAGCTTTTTGGAAAGAGATTTTAGTCAGCCCTTATAGTCATAAAATAGCATTCAAATAGAAAAATCATATCCGCCTATATTTAAAACCGAAAAAAAAAAAATGAGTCCGGACCCCTTTTGCTGTTTGAAAGCACTGTGTAAATGCATCTTTGTTCCGTACAATCTTCTTCATTTGAGCCTGCCATGCTTTACGGTGGTTTTGCGCATGTGTACTATTGTGCTTTTCAATCATAAGCCTAACCTGATTGTTACCCGTCTAAACGGTTAAAAAAAATTGGTCCTGACCACTTTTTGATCAATCCGGACCCAGTTTTTTCTGTAGTGTAAGTGGGACTTCAAACTCAGTTCCAGTGTCCTCAATGTTTCAAAACTTCTAACTTTGACTGGCAGAGGAACACTTCAACGAGCCTCTTGTACAAGTGGCTTGCACTGACATCCTTGTTAACACCTTTTTTTAGTGGAGGCTAGTAAAGCTGAGGTTGATTTTGTCACTTATTGCAAAAACTTGTCCTGAACAAGTCTTTGAAAGACAAACAAACTATCTTGTCCATTTGTCTTTTTACAGAGACAACCAAACATTGGCCACTCTTTCGTATCATCATCCTTGTCTTACCACTGCCATCTTGATGAAGAAGGAGGCTGAAAACAAATAGGTAAGTGGTGATGCTTGTCAAGGTCAGTTCTGGCAGATTGTGCAGAAGTTGCTGACGGGGGGTGACAGATGACTCATTACTTATAATAATAATAATAATAATAATAATAATAATGATAATAATAAGAAGAATTATAATAGACATTATTTATATAGTGCTGTTTCCAAAAACTCAAAACAGTTAAACCTAGACGTGTGACCACCTCCCCTAGGCAACCACTTCCTATAAGCGACCACCTTCCCAAAACACCGAAAAATTAATGTTCTCAGTCAAAGCCTTATACTGGAACCTCTTGTAAACGACCACCTCCTGTAAACAACCACGACCACTATTTCAGCTGACAGATTTAGAATTTTCTATTGTTTTCAATCTCCGGTAAGCACCACTTGACACATGGTCTTACTAATCAGAGAAATTCATCATAAAACTTGACAAAAAGGAATTTATTCTTTCTGTTAGTGTGTTTATTAGTTCAATCTATGACTACAATGTTAACCATTACCCTTGAGAAAAAGACTCAGATTTCTAGGTTTCAGTTTAAGAAGTTAAGTTTTTGTTCATGAGACATCTTAGGGACATTTCTGTACAAGACGTCATATACACAAGTAACATTTTTTAACCACAAATTTATAACACACGTTATCCAATAAAGTTTACTCCCATTAAACGAGCTATCACATAGAATAGCTAATGATTTTGCGGTCCAACTCTTGTGAGTGACCACCGCCTATAAGCGACCACCAAGCCTTTGCATTTTGGGTGGTCGCTTACCGAAGGTTCGACTGTAGCGCTTTACAGAGTTAATAAGAAAGAAAAATGACGAATTATAAATTTGCAGCAAATGATAGTAAAAAGAATACCCAATGAACACTTGTCACACGTTCTCAGGATCTGTTGAGGCTCACCAACAGTTTTTATTATCTTCGACATATGCAGTTCTTGTTTGAATTCATTTCAATATATATACGAAAACATTAGGATTTTCATGATTTGCCAAATTGGTCAACACGAGTAAACTTTGTGTCACCAAAGAGATATAACAATAATAATAATAATAAGAAGAAAATAATCTTTATAGAGGAAACTCCCATCACACAAAGTGGTTTTCAGGGAGGTCCTCTGACTAATATTAAATAATATTAAAACTAATAATAACAATCAAATCTAAAAAACTAGTGGTTACAAAGTTTAAAGGCTAAAAAGGCTAGATGACTAAAGAAGGCAAAAAGTAATAAAAATGCAATCAGACTGAAAGATTTAACTATTGAAAAAACAAAGGTGAACGACTAAAAGGAGAAAATGAAAATTTACAAACTACAATATTTGGCTCTTAAAAACTTTTTTAGGTCATGTTTAAAAATTTTGCAAGTACTTTTGTAAGTATTTTGCAAGGAAACCTATTGAATAGGTTTCCTTAAAAAATTCGGAAGAGTTGACCAGTCACTAATGTGCCTGTAGTGAGTTGTCCTTTTTCCACATTCTGTTTTTGGGTTTGGAATTCTAGGTAAGTAACTGTTTCTTGTGTTATGTCCACGCAAGTCTCTTAAGGTTATTTTAAAAGTCTCTAGGTGCTCTGGTATTTCCCCTTTAATTGCATCTTGAACCGCTGACCATTGGTGAACAAAACGTTGTTCAGCCAGAGGGATCCATTGTAGGGAATTGAGTGCTTTGGATGATGAGATCTTATTATCCAGAATTCTTTTATTCTGAAATGCTTGTAAATGATCCATATCAGATTTCAAACTAGGCTGATCTCCCCATACAATGTCACCATAGTCTAAATGGCGTAAAACTAAGCCGTTAAAATACGCAATACGAGTCTTATTATCAAGCTTATAAAAGATTCTGTTAAACACAGACGGGTGATGACCTAGCTTCTTTAACAAGTTACTAATATATGGCTTCTAACTCCATTTTTTATCCATTATTACTGCAAGATATTTACATGATTGCACATGTTCAACTTGTGTACCATTCATTTGTAAGTCAATATCATCAAATAACAAAAGCATGGTCTTACTCCCGGTAAGCATGAGTTTAGTCTTCTTCACTTTTATGGCCAGTTTGTTTTCAGAAGAAGGGGTTTGCTTGAATGTAATACTTGTGAACCATAAAAAATGCATCTTGCATACCGCTCAGACTTTTATGAGATTGATAGGAAGCACTGCCTCCGACACAATGATTCTTAGCCAACTTCATCCAGTAATAGGAGAAGTGAGTCATATTGGACGGTGGCTATGTCCTACTTGGACAGCTAATGCCCCGTTTCCTTCTTGATGTCAATTGCCTCAGGCTTTTTTTATGATGGCAAGTGACTCTTGTAAAGCTACAGACCTCTACACTTATGAAGTTACTATAATGGGATAGTTCAGAGTCTATGAAAAAGTAATGGTCAATGATTTAACTCTTGGTATCTTAGCTGTAATTTCCTCCTTGTTCATGGTCAGATGACTCTGGAAGAACCAAGTCTCCCTTGTCAGTGGTAATCTGTTTATTAATTTCAAAATATTCGAAAGTATCTCTAACTATGTCATGTGGTAGATGTCACAGGCACGTCCTTGTTTGAAAATGGGCAAGTTTTCTGTGATGTTCTCCTCCTCCATGATGTACTGGTTGTGAAAAAGCATATGTGATGTACAGAACTGACTTAATCAAGTTACTGCTAAATTCATTTCTATACTCAGAACACATGTAATCATTTTTGCATTAGAAGAGTTGGTACCAGAGGAAGTTGTGCAAACACAACACGTCGCCTTCCCTCGAATTCTCATGGAACATGCAAGTAATAAGGTAAAGAAATTCCAAAATATGGAACACTGTTCGCTGACACGACATGATTTACTGTTTACTTCCAAAAGACGCTTTATTTTTAGTTTTTCATTGAAATATCAAATTAAAAACAAGCAAACATGAATTTGTTGATAGTATTCATCAAAATAAGCAAGGCCTTGAAGGCAAAAAAGCCAACCGGCCAGGAATTCATTGTGTGTGAAGAATTTGTCTGGCAGACATAGCTGGCTTGGCGTATTGCACACAAAGATTCTTACTGTTTTCCTACTACAATTTTCGCGTCTATTTCGCTTCTTATCCTCCAGAATCCTTCAAAATAATTTGCTTGACTTGTATTTGGTCGAAATTTGTTGATACAAGCTTTCATTCTTTGCAAAAGCTGCAGCAAATCCTTACCGCATCGACTTCCATTTTTCTCAGTTTTTAAAAGATCATTGCATGAAGCTAATAACCGACTGTGGCGCTGAAACTGCCACACAGTTGGCTAAGCCTATTAACTTCTGGTGGGCCAAAATTGGAGGCAATCAGAAGTAACGCAATTTTTTACGAATTTTCTTAATAGAAAATGAGAGCTTGTGACTTTTTGCTAAGTAAACAAACACAAGCCCCCTTTTTCTAGGAAACCCTTCTATTGCATCAGTTAAAAGTTATCTTTAGGTCATAAATACTTTTACAGTCGTAGAGGAAGTTCTTGTACACTTTTAGCATAAGGGTTAGAATATGATTACACATTCCTGATATCTTTGTGGCGGAAGTTGGTTAACAGAGTGAATTTAACATCCCCAGAAAAAATACATGGTATGTGGTGTGGTGATCAGCCCACATAAGTTTTAATATGTATCCTGAAAACTGGAAACTATGATATTTTTTCATCAAACCTGAAAGAAAAATCAAATTGAAATTGAAAGTTTCCCATAAAATGCCAAAAATACGTCGAAAAAACCTCCTCCTTGCTTCTTCATTGCTCTCTCATAAGACCTGCAGGACTTCCCTGAAAACTAATCAACGAACAGATATTTTGTTAACCAAACCAAATCAATGAAAATCACAGAAAAAACAACTTTCTTTTAAAAATGAAATTAATTTACCTGTTCTTATGGAACATCGCATCCAACTTGAGAAGAGCTGTCTTGTTCTCTGCAGCCATCATTTTTGCCAATCAAATAGGATCTTGTGTATCAGATGACAAGCTTTTATGTCAAAATCATAAATTTGGTGCTGTCTTTTGACAAGTCAAAGACTAAAGATGGTGGGTGGATTAGTCATTGCTACCCAGTTATTTGGCCTTGATAAGGAGTGGATAATGCAGTTGAACGTTGGATGGTCAGTGGAGCTTGGCTTGAACTTGGGTTTAGGTACACTATCAGTGAGGCATCATTCTTGGGAGTGGAAACCCAAAGAAAAGGCAGCTTGGCAAATAAAGCTTCTCGGTCTTCGTCAGATAATTGGTTTTTGTTTCTTGGTCTCTTACTTTTAGTGTAATGGGTCTAACAGGGACGGGAGCGTGTTTCTTTCGACCTGGAAACTTTGTTAACTGAGCTCACTTTAACTCAAAGTACTGGGGCGAGAAAATTCTGATTGTCCTTCAAGGGATTACGTTGCTTGCGGCCTCGAACTGCTTGGAGTTACTTGGTTTTTCTTACTTTCTTTTCTTGTCTTTGAATTGCAAGCAAGCATCTGCATATACAAGTCAAGAGGTGCCCCTGCTAAAGGAATTGGGCCACCCCAGCATTGCTGGGAAAATGGCGCTGACCTAGTAAGTTCATGAGATATTTGTCTGTAGATGGTACACAGTCAGAGGTACACATTGAAAGGTACTTTTGTTTTCCACCAAGGTATTTTGCTCACATGTGCTGAATGAATCCTGAAAATATAGGGTGTTTGTTACAGTCAAACCAGCATCTGGGCAATGGAAGGTAAATTTGTTCATTGCATTGCGTAATTATGCTGCTTGACAATTGAGAACTACTATCCCATCTGACTCTCTTTTGAAGATGTATAAGAAACTCTTTTATGTCAGAATAATCCAAAAAAAGTAAACATTTTAAGAACTGGAAAGTATTTTGGGGAAAATTGATCCTATGGATGATTGGGTGCCTTTAAAAAACGTTTTCAATGTCCTTGTGTCTGGTTCTGGAAAAAAGTTGTCTGTCATCGTTAACTTGCCCAACAGGAAGGCTGTATGCAATAATTTTAAGATGCTTTAGGCTTAGAGACTGTTAGAATAATAAAATTATGTTGATGAACCTCAGCAGCAGGTGATGTGAGATTGATCTCAGTGAATACATTCATATAAACAATCTTGAGTGAGCATCTCCTGGTACAGGAAGGGTTTTTAAGGTAATAGAGAAATTGTGATGGTGCCAAACCACACATGCTCTGGTCATTGCTATTGGAAAGGTTTGTCCATCATCTTAAATTCGCCTAACATTAAGAATTGTATGCCATGTTGAGCAACTCCATAGTTGGAGCTTGTTTGAATAATTTGTTGATGAATGAAGCATCGGAGGTTTGAATAGTGGAAAATTGATTCGGTTGATGATTCTATCCATGTGTTTCTATAAACAGACCCTTGTCAAGCAATGTTTTACTGAGGGTCAAGTTTACACTTTATATGATTTTGTTACGTTTTACCTTACAAATTGGATGAAATTAAAAATGAAATTTATGATAATTAAAGGAGACTACACATTTATCAATATCATGATGAAATGACCAAATGATGCATAGCTGCTGTTATATTGTGCCTTGACACAAGCCATAGAACTTCTTCAGTTGACAAACCACAATACACCTGAGCATACATGCTAACATTGGGGAAAGATGCATGTAAATTTCACTGGATGTGACAATTTATCAAAAAATGTTTATTTATAAGCAGGTTTTACAACACTAAATTGTTTGTTATTGCAATTGACCACTCACCTTTACAAAACTCTCCAGACTTCTTAGTCTTTCTCTTAAATGTGTGTTCTCTTTGCGGAGAGAATATTTTGCCTTGACACAAGCCATAGAGCTTCTTCAGTTGACAAACCATAAGACACCTGTGCATACAAGTATCTGTCTTTAAAATGTGGGTTTTTAGGGTTTTGGCAGGAGTTGACAGTGAAGCCCAACAAACACTTTGTATTCATATTCCTCCAACTTCTCTTTTTTGATAGTTGCTTTCTTACAATCTTGGACCAACATGTAAGTCATTATGGGTTTGTTTTCATCTCTTGTCAGTCATTTTAGAAATAATAGTAATAATAATAGTGATAATAAATATAATAGTGTTAAATTATTCATAAGATAAAAACTACATATCTTATGTTACAAAACTTCCAATTAAAACTAAGTGAAGTTAAAATAAAATACCCCATTACAAAAGGGCATTTCACCTCTCATCTCTAATAATCTCTAATTATTGTCTCCTACATTCCTCGTATTCTTTCAACAGTTAGTTGCTCATTGTTGTTAACAAGCTGAGCCTCTCTTTTAAGTTGTGATTTTCATATGTTAATTGGGCTATCTGCAAAGACAGGATATAAGCAGACACGTTTTTCATTATGGTTCAAAATATCTGTCCTTCAGGCAAATGTTTGCTGGCTGGGCGATTTTTAAAAAAATATATTTCCTGCATAGAAATTATGATAACTCAAAAGAACAGACTGGAACCTACCTTAATTCTCCAGTCAGTACATGATGTGACTAATTGTAAAAGAAATCAAAAAGAGAAACACTTTTTTCAGTTAATTTAACCCAGATTGAATCCAGGGATCAAAAAAATTCACGGGATCGGGGATCAAAATTTAAGGCCTAAATGTGGTATCAGTTGACAAAAAATATACCTCGTTATCTCAACGAGTAAGAAAATGATGCTTTTGGAAAATGTCTGCACGTAACAAAAACAGTTAGAGGTTTGTTGCCAAACCAACTTAACCATAGTAAAAGAGAACAGTATAAAACAGCCCCTTAAGTGCAAGAGACAGGTGCATTTAAATTGCATAATACATTTCCTGTCAGTGCACTTTTAAACATTCACAGAAGGGCAACTATTATCACTCCACTAAAGCAATACTTAATACTGTGCTTTGTATGATAATGTCGATAGAGATTTTGGAAAAAAGGGATCTTCTTAAATTCAGTTTACACCTGAACATCCACTTGTATATTATACTGTATTTGGTTAGCTGTATGGTTACCTATGTGATGAAAGAAAAATCAAATGCAGACATATTTTACACAATCTTCAGTAAACACCTGATAATGAGTTTTTAAAGGTAATAGAGGAATCATGCTGTTGCCAAACGACGCAAAACACTCAAGTTTTGCATGCTATGGTCGTTGCTTTTGAAAAAGTTTGGAGCTTGTTGGAATAAACTGTTGATGAACTAAGCAGCAGGTGATTCAGACTGATCTCGGGGATTAAGAAAGTGACAAACTTTTAAAGCATCAGTCACAATTCCAACGAACAATGTCACGGCAAACTACTCTGTTAGCAGTACCTCTGTATTTGATATCAACAAGTAAGGAAATGACGTTTTAAAACATGTTAGGTGTTGGTTATTCTAAGCATAGGCATAGTCCTTAGCAACAGTAACAATGGCAATGTCATGGCAAGCCAATCTGTTAGCGGTTATCATGCTCATCTAGAACTCAGGACAGAGATGAAGGAAATGAAACAATGAGCCTCTGTTTGCGTGTTTTGTTAGTTGCTTTAGGAAAATTTTGTCTTTCATTGGAATAAAAGGTTGATGAACCCCAGCAGCAGGGAATTTGAGATTGATCTCAAGGAGTAAGAAAATGATGCTTTTGGCGAGTGTTTGCACATAACAAAAACAGTAAAAGATTTGTTGCCAAACCAACGTAACCACAGTAAAGCGGAACAGTCTAAAACAGCCGGTTAAATGCAAGAGGCATGTGCATTTAAATCAGGACGCTCAGGAAACAAAGCTGTTTCCCTCGGAATCTGACATAAGTGTATATTGAACTATAAAAGCAGCAGTTAACGATCACAGCTTTAAGACGAATGAATAGCTTACTTCAACCACATCGTTGGAAGGTTGAACTCTTCCATCGTCGTGCTCTTGCTTTATTGTACCTCCGCAATCGTTCTGTAATGACGTTAACTGATAGGAGGGTAAAGAGAAAAGAATGTAAACTTCAGTTTACATTCATTGGTTGGGAGAGAATATTTGCTGCGAGACATAAATACAGTGAATATTAAATTATAAAAGCAGCAGTTAACGGTCACAGCTTTAAGATGAATAGCTTACTTCAACCACATCGTTGGAAGGTTGCCTTCTCCCCTGGTCATCCTCTTGCTGTATTGTAGCGCCACAATCGTTCTGTAATGATGGCAATTTATAATAGATTTGGAGGAAAATCAAAAATAACTAAAACCCAAATAAGGCTAGGGAGTGAATTTACTGCCCACTAACACACGATTTACCTAAGGAAACTAGGTCTTTACTACTCCTACACAACAGGATTTAAATACAAGAAATGTGTGGGAATAATACAACTACACATGGTAAAAATAATATGTGCAAGGAAATAAAGATATTTAGGTAAACAACCAATTAATAATCATTAGGATAATGAAAATAGTTGAAAATAATTTGGAAATAATAGAAAAATAAAATAAGCTTAAAATGAACTTAAGTGACCTTCTCACATTAGCAACAGTAACAATGGCAATGTCATGGCAAGCCACTCTGTCAGCGGTTTTCATGCTCAGTTTAGAACTCAGGACAGAGATGAAGGAAATGAAACAGTGGGCTTCTTTTTTGTGTGTTTTGGTAGTTGCTTTTGGAAGCTTTTTTCTGTCATTGGAATAAAATGTGGATGCACCCCAGCGGCAGAGAATTTGAGATTGATCTCAACTACTAAGAAAATGATGCTTTTGCAGCATGTTAGGCTCAATTAATCGAACGGTGATTTCGGCATGATTTCTGCTAAAGGAGTGATGCTGCGCTGTGCCGATCGCTTAAGTGGGGTAACAGATAGATGTTCTCACTACCCTTGATAGCTTTATGTGTTGGCATGAAAAGCAAACCGGTATAGTCTGAACATAGCATAGACGAGCATAACAAAATCGCGTGGAGAGAGTTTCCAGATGCCTTGGCCCAGCTAGTTTTTCTACTCGCCTAGGTTTTGTTACATCTCGCCGTTCTTTTAGCGATCTACATTAAGTCCCTATCAGGCTAGTGTCTAAATAGCGGTGTGATCTATTGATCTTTTGAGTCGTCTTCTTATAACTCTGCGATCCCAACTCTTAGACACTCTCTATTTTTACGAACGCTACTAATGGACAATGTTTTTTGGTTTAGCAAATCTAGGTAGTTCTCAGTCATCTCTTTCTTTAGTGTTTTTCTTTAAAAGAAAAGACATTTTCTTTAAAGGCTACCAGTGGTCTGAAAAGAAGAAAACAAACGTTCCTTCAATCTAACTTTTCTGTAGTAGTAAGATTAAAGAGGAACTATAGAAACCAGGGCACTTTTAAAAGTTTTCTCAAGTTAGTTGAGCCAATAAGTAGCTGGTTTTTAGTTACTTTGTGGTATAATCTATTAATTCCTCTGATGTTGGGAATTTAACTACTGCCTCTTCACCAGAAGTGATCATTTGAATTTTCTCCATCATTTCATATTGCTCTGGTATACTCATCATATGCTTAATTATTATATTCACGAAGTGTTGCCTGTTATCACATATTATTTTAAACTTTGAGAAACTATCCTTAGGAGGCAACTGGTGGTCACCAAACATCTGGAAACTATCCATGTAGTCATGAGGATATACTCCTTTCTTTTTCATTAATGCTAGTTCCTCATCTTGGAATACTTGGCTGGTATATTTGAATTTGTTTGCAGGTAGATTATCTGCAAGCTGCTCCAAACTGTCGGCTGTAAAATGGAAACTGTCCATAAATACCAGATGTTTACCTAACATGAAGGCCATGTATTTTTCCATATTATTTGGAATAGAGTTTATTTCCAGATCATGTTCTTTTCCTATGGTCCCAATTTCTTGCATAATAAAATGGGAATCGTACCCACAGAGATTATGGAAAATAACAGGCAGCTTAGACTTTTTTGGATTAACCCGCAACTTCAGAGTACAGTCCTGGTCAGCACTTCTGCGGTACAGCCAGTAATGTGGCAATGATCCCTGACTCTAATTTCTTTCTCCATTTCCTTATACTTCTGGCCACAAATGTGGCACTGTTCTACTTGTCTTAATAAAATTTCCTTCTCATCAGTCATTTGTATGGGCTTCTTAAATTTGGTGCTAATAGTCTTCCTGCAATATTCTACCTCCTTCAGCATCTCCTGCATGAACTTTTTAATGGAATCTTCTCCCCTGTAAATTAACTTTGTACTGGCTTACTATATGTATCATCATAACAGCACACTACTTTGTAACCATAGCTGCATCCCGTGTGCTTTTGATATTTGTTTGTGTAAGATTTAGTGCTATTAGGTTGGCATCCTTGTACCTTCTCAGTAACAGCCTCAAAATCTGCCTATATAACAAATGGTGCCGCCATCTGACTACGGTGGTTTTGGAAGTGGAGTGTATTTTTGTCCTTCTCTGGCATCCTAATAGCCTGCTCACCATTTATTACCATACAATTGGTCATATGCTCGTTAACTATCTCTTTATGTGCTGAAAAATTGGAGACAATGTATGCAGAAATACTTTCTGTACTGATACTTAGTCTTATTATACATCATTCTATCAAAATCCTTAACCAGCACATAATGTTGCTTCTCCCCCTCTGTAATCAACAGCAGGTTCAAAACAACCTTATTATGCTGATTGGACACATACATAGGGTAAAATTGCTTGTTCCCATAGCCGAAAACGTTGATATTGATGCTGTTTTGCTCGTCTATTTTATCATAATGTTTGGTAGCAACAGAGAACTCAATACCTTGGTAATTTAACTTTTGTACCATCTGTCTATCTGATTTTTTGATCTGCTGAGGATTTCTTTCTTGTGGATTCAAAAGACAGACATGGCACCAGCAAAAACACTCATCCAGCCAGACACCAATACCATTCAATAATTGCTGCTGGGATAATCCCAGGCTTGGTAAAAAATCATTGGGGTTAATTATAATCTGTGCCTGACTATCGAAATACGCTGGTTATTCTAAACAAAGACATAGTCCTTGGCAACAGTAACCTGAAACGGCTCTCCCCTAGCAGTTTTAGAAAGCGGTATAAAAATCATCTCCTGAAATGTCAGTCATGGTTGGCCACTTCTGGGAGTGAAAGGATTAATGAAATAATACAAATTTGATGAATACCATTATTATTATTAAATACTAACTTGCACTGCGTAACCAAGCTTCAGCCACAGCACTTTGATTAGTTCTTCTGCAGCTTCAGCCGCAACACTAAAATGGGGCAATTAGTACTGTAAACATGCAGTGTACAAATACAGACGTTTATTACTACATAGTGTTGACACTGACCAGGGTCCCTTCTATAATACAATGTAGGTGTATGGTTAATACATGTTTCATTGTGTGATTATACTGGACTACTGGTATATTAAAATTGATATAATAATTACACCTACAAATAAACCCAATTGCCTCAGTAATGGTAGACCCGATGGAAATTCCAAATCACCCTGCGGATTATTATTAAAATGTACAAGATCATGCAGGTTGTGAACAAAATCTTGTCTCTTCAAGCCAGGTGCATGTATAGTACATATAGACGACTGATTTGTAACAATATTAAATAGGAAGCATCGGACCTGTTTCCTTTATACATCTCTATTAATTTGAATTGGAGTGCTAAAAAATGCACACTAATGCACTCTCGGCTTAAAAAACTTTAAACTCGATCCAGATTGTCCTTTGGGCAAGCAGCCTTCTAGGTTTGTTTGTCCAGGGCAGTTGCATGGCTGTCTTTGTTTAGTTTTAGCCAAGACAACTGTTAGGTTTACTGATGTCGTCATGTTATAACTAGAACATACGCATCACACAAGTAGGAGTAACAACTGATTTTTATTTGCTATTTCACTCACATTTATACAAACATTCATAAGCGGCTCTAATTACAGATTACATACTTGGCATAATATCAAGCATATAATGTTGTGGCATTTCCTGTCGCGGTTTTCTACTAATGGATATGTTCAACTACGATAAGCTTTGTGGTAAGCATGTGGTTATATTGGTCAGGATGTTGGAACACGGAATCTAACACCCCCACTTGCTCCAATCATCTTTGACGAACTTAATATATGTATATATATATATACAAAACTAATTTCCCATGATAAAAGACTTAAACTTTTCTAGTTTAACTTTGGTTGCTGGCTTTGTAAAAATGTCAGCTACATTATCTTCTGTAGGCACATATTCTAACTTTACATTTCCTGCTTGTATTTCCGATCTTATAAAGTGATATTTTATGTCAATGTGCTTTGACCTCTGATGATTAACTGGGTTTTTAGCTAGGTTAATCGCCCCCTGATTATCTACGTGGATTACAACATCATCTATCACAATGTTCATATCTTTACAGATTTGTCTCAAGAACTTTGATTCTTGTACAGCACTAGCTAGCGAAATGTATTCCGCTTCACAAGTAGATAAAGCTACAGTGGGTTGTTTACGACTCTTCCATGAAATTAAAGGACCTCTCTCTAATAGCTGAAAATTATACCCAGTAATACTGCGTCTGTCTTTTTACAGATGCTCCCCAGTCAGAGTCACAAAATCCTATTAATTTTAATGGTGACTCTGATTTTTCAAACTTAAGACATTGTTCCCTTGTGCCTTTTAGATACCTAAGAACATGCTTGGCCAAAATGAGATCTGACTCTGAGGGCTTGGCCATGTTCTGTGAAAGTTTAGTCACGACGTAGCACAAATCCGGTCTCGTGCCTGTCATTACATAGATTAAGCTCCCAACAATGGCTCGATACAATCTGGGGTCACTTAATTCTTTTGGCTTTACATCACATTCTTTTTCTATCCCAAGAGCACATGGCGTTGGTTTTGGCTTACAATCGCTCATTTGAAATTTGGATAGAACTTTGTCAATGTATTGGCTTTGGCTCATTTCAATAGATGTCTTGCTGCACTTGAATTGGGTTCCCAAGAACCATGAAAGTTCACCCAGATCTTTCATTTTGAATTTCTGGCAGAGAGACTCTTTTACGCTCTCGAGCAATTTGGCATAAGTCGCCGATATAATGATATCGTCGACCCAAATAATCAGAATAACGCATCCTTCGGTCTCTGAATTTCTCACGTACACACATGGGTCAGCACGTGACTGAGAAAAATTTTCGTTGCACAAGAAGCTATGCAACATATTGTTCCAGTTTCTCCCACTTTGTTTGAGACCATAAAGTGATTTCTTCAATTTACACACTAATTTTTCGCCATTTGTGCCTCCCTTTTCGAAGCCTTTTGGCTGCTCCATGTAAATATCGCAATCTATTGGCGCATTAAGGTAGGCAGTTTTACATCCATTTGATGAGTGATCATGTTATTTTGGACTGCACGTTGCATCAACATCCGAACTGAACTCATGCGGGCCGTGAGGCGCAAATGTTTCCTGATAGTCTATTTCTGCAACTTGGGAATAGCCCTTAGCGACGTAACGCGCTTTATGAGTTTCTTCCCCATTTGGTCCGTTTTTACGGCATAGACCCATTTTCCCCCACTATTTTCCTACCCTCCGGTGGTGTTACTAGGTCGTACGTGTCATTGTCGTTCAAAGCTGTCATTTTCGTCGTCCATGGCCTTTTGCCACTTATTCGCCTCAGGCGAGTCGACAGCCTCGTCATACGTTGTCGGTATGTTTACGACCCTGTAACAGTAGTCTACTGTGTAATAAACATTGTCTTTCATATCGTCCTCTAAAGCATACTCTTCGAGGTGTTTGGGTTTGTTATGGGTTCTAGTTGGGTACCTCCCGTTCGTCACAGGCTCATTGTCGTTAGTCGCAGTAACGCTCCCCTCCTCGTTTGGTTGGTCAGCCTGTTCTGTGTTCTGTTCAGTGTTATCCTCGACCCTTTGTTCTAGGACAGGTACAAATGCTTCCCCTTCTTCAATCTCTGTATAGGAAATACTCTGCCCGTGAAATTTCACACATCTTACCCTTTCGACCTTGTTCGCGTTAGGGTAATAAACTAGATACGCTGGGCTTTCCCTGTCATAACCCACGAAGATACCCCTTTTGCTTCGCGCATCTAATTTCTTCGCGTTTTGCACATAAGCATAACATGTGGATCCGAAAACGTGCATATTGCCTAGGTTTGGTCGCTTTCCGGTTAGCGCCTCGAATGGTGTCATTGCCAACCTTGAGTTAAAACATCGATTCCGGATATATGCAGATGCCATCACTGCGTAGGTCCATAGTGTTTTTGGTAAATTTGCCTCGAGCAATAAGCAGCGCGCCATGTCAAATAGACTTCTCCATCCTCTCTCCACCGTCCCATTTTGGTGCGGGGAATACGGCGCGCTCATTTCGTGTTTTATCTTATTTTCGCGCAACAAAGATCGAAAATGTTTGCTTGTGAATTCCGTTCCGTTGTCGCTCCGAATGCGCTTGATTTTACCGAAAGGAGTGGTGTCGGCCAAAAACTTTTGCGTCGCTTCTACGGTGTCGCTTTTCTGTTTGAGAAAATACACCTTGTTGATTCCTGTGTAATCATCTATAAAAGATAACGCATACTTGAAGCCGTCTTTTGCTGCGGGACTGATTGGGCCAGCTAAATCGCAATGAACGAATTCTAAAGGCTCTTTTGCTTTCTCGTCCGGTTTTCGATTCCGAAATTGGCACATTTTGCCTTGCGTGCAGATAGTGCACTCGCACTGTCGATCATCGACAATTTTCATTCCTTCAACTACGTTTTGAAGTTTTCGAAGATCGTTAAAATTGCAGTGTCCCATGATTTTGTGCCACTCCATTAGTGTGGTGGCGTTATTTTGGGTTGAAATGTTGTTCAGATAAAATAAACGCCCTTGTTGTTTGATACTAAACATTGTACCATTTGGTGCTCTCAAATTTTTGGCATCCTTATCTAAAGTTATGCTGGCCCCCCTATCTATGGCTGCGGGAACAGAAAAAATATTTTGGGTATAGGACGGGATATAAAGGGCGTTGTTTAACACCACATCCTGTACATTACCGTTTACATCATAAAGCTTAACTTGGGCGTTTCCCCTTCCTAAAACCACATTAGCCCTACTTCCATCGGCTAACTCAATAAAATGTGTACTAGGGTCGAATTTCTTATCAAAATCTACGAACTTAGACTTGTCATTGATAATATGGCTTGTAGCGCCGGTATCTAAAAGTAATTGATTTGGAGTAGGCTCACCTCTACCTTCCTGATCCTTAACAGTAAATAGAAAACTATGACTATTGTTGTCTCTTTTAAGTTTTTGTTCTTGTCCTATTGCGGACTTTGCTGCATCAGGGTTCCCTTTGCGGCAATCTTTGGTGTTGTGGGAATTGTTCTTGCAACGCTGGCACCACTTGTCGGCGACTTTGTTCGAGTAGCAGTCCACGCTTCTGTGTCCCTTTCGTCCACATTTGAAGCACTTTCCTTGGAACTTTGGCTTGCTTGAACCATTCGCGGCCGACATTACGCCATCTCCGTTTCCATCATCGTCTTTATGGCAACATTTCTCGTTCTCCTCATGGTTTCGGAGCGAGACCTTAAATTCTGCAAATGTCATGGGAGTGTCCTTCTGCATGACAATCGTGCCGAAAGTCTTGTAACTTTTAGGCAGGCCTTTTAGGGTCATCGCGACCAACAGACCGTCGCTGATTACTTCGCCAGCAGCTTTAAGCGAAGTTGCTGCGGTCTCCGCCCTGATGATGTAGTCTGTGGTCGTTTCTGTTTCACCCATTTGAAGTGAAGTCAACTCTGTGTAGAGGGCAATGATGCGGGGTTTTCCTTTGCCTTGGTAGTGCTCCCTTAAGACTCTGAGCGCTTTCCTCCCGTCATTTTTGGCCTCTCTGATAACCAGGGACAAGCTTCTGTCATCCAAACACTGGACCATTTCTGCAAACGCACTAGCTTTCTTTTCCTCGCTGGGTTCTTCCTTTTCATCTGCAGCTGGTATAACTACATCGTGGAGTTTCTGAAGGCGCATGTATCCTAGGAACTTTACTTCCCATAGCTCGTACCTGCTTTCGTCCCCGTCAAATATGAGCGTCCTCCTGGGCCCATAACCTGTTAGGTTTACTGATGTCGTCATGTTATAACTAGAACATACGCATCACACAAGTAGGAGTAACAACTGATTTTTATTTGCTATTTCACTCACATTTATACAAACATTCATAAGCGGCTCTAATTACAGATTACATACTTGGCATAATATCAAGCATATAATGTTGTGGCATTTCCTGTCGCGGTTTTCTACTAATGGATATGTTCAACTACGATAAGCTTTGTGGTAAGCATGTGGTTATATTGGTCAGGATGTTGGAACACGGAATCTAACAACAACTTAACTGGGCCCTTTCCAATCAAGACAGGCAATTGAGCATCAAAATAGTTACTTGCCCAGTTCTCTCTTACACTCCTCATACTCGAGTAACCGCTCGTCGCTCATTGTTGTTAGGACGGTTATTCTCTCCTTCAAGTTAGTAGTACTGCACGGCGGTATGGGACCTTACCCAGTAGTATCCTTTAATTTTATATATAACTTTTTCCAAATTGTTTAACCTAAAATTGTAGTCTGCGATGTTTCTGTAGCCAGTGTAGATGTCCTTGAAATAATTGGCATCGCTGCGAGCATGAATTACGAGTACTGGCTTACTATTTGTATCATCATAACAGCACACTACTTTGTAACCATAGCTGCATCCTGTGTGATTTATGATATTTGTTGTGTAAGAGTTAGTGCTATTAGGTTGGAATCCTTGTACCTTCTCAGTAACAGCCTCAAAATCTGCCTATATAACAAATGGTGCCGCCATCTGACTACGGTGGTTTTGGAAGTGGAGTGTATTTTTTTCCTTCTCTGGCATCCTAATAGCCTGCTCACCATTTATTACCATACAATTGGTCATATGCTCGTTAACTATCTCTTTATGTGCTGAAAAATTGGAGACAATGTATGCAGAAATACTTTCTGTACTGATACTTAGTCTTATTATACATCATTCTATCAAAATCCTTAACCAGCACATAATGTTGCTTCTCCCCCTCTGTAATCAACAGCAGGTTCAAAACAACCTTATTATGCTGTTTGGACACATACATAGGGTAAAATTGCTTGTTCCCATAGCCGAAAACGTTGATATTGATGCTGTTTTGCTCGTCTATTTTATCATAATGTTTGGTAGCAACAGAGAACTCAATACCTTGGTAATTTAACTTTTGTACCATCTGTCTATCTGATTTTTTGATCTGCTGAGGATTTCTTTCTTGTGGATTCAAAAGACAGACATGGCACCAGCAAAAACACTCATCCAGCCAGACACCAATACCATTCAATAATTGCTGCTGGGATAATCCCAGGCTTGGTAAAAAATCATTGGGGTTAATTATAATCTGTGCCTGACTATCGAAATACGCTGGTTATTCTAAACAAAGACATAGTCCTTGGCAACAGTAACCTGAAACGGCTCTCTACTAGCAGTTTTAGAAAGCGGTATAAAAATCATCTCCTGAAATGTCAGTCATGGTTGGCCACTTCTGGGAGTGAAAGGATTAATGAAATAATACAAATTTGATGAATACCATTATTATTAAATACTAACTTGCACTGCGTAACCAAGCTTCAGCCACAGCACTTTGATTAGTTCTTCTGCAGCTTCAGCCGCAACACTAAAATGGGGCAATTAGTACTGTAAACATGCAGTGTACAAATACAGACGTTTATTACTACATAGTGTTGACACTGACCAGGGTCCCTTCTATAATACAATGTAGGTGTATGGTTAATACATGTTTCATTGTGTGATTATACTGGACTACTGGTATATTAAAATTGATATAATAATTACACCTACAAATAAACCCAGTTGCCTCAGTAATGGTAGACCCGATGGAAATTCCAAAACACCCTGCGGATTATTATTAAAATGTACAAGATCATGCAGGTTGTGAACAAAATCTTGTCTCTTCAAGCCAGGTGCATGTATAGTACATATAGACGACTGATTTGTAACAATATTAAATAGGAAGCATCGGACCTGTTTCCTTTATACATCTCTATTAATTTGAATTGGAGTGCTAAAAAATGCACACTAATGCACTCTCGGCTTAAAAAACTTTAAACTCGATCCAGATTGTCCTTTGGGCAAGCAGCCTTCTAGGTTTGTTTGTCCAGGGCAGTTGCATGGCTGTCTTTGTTTAGTTTTAGCCAAGACAACTTAACTGGGCCCTTTCCAATCAAGACAGGCAATTGAGCATCAAAATAGTTACTTGCCCAGTTCTCTCTTACACTCCTCATACTCGAGTAACCGCTCGTCGCTCATTGTTGTTAGGACGCTTATTCTCTCCTTCAAGTTAGTAGTACTGCACGGCGGTATGGGACCTTACCCAGTAGTATCCTTTAATTTTATATATAACTTTTTCCAAATTGTTTAACCTAAAATTGTAGTCTGCGATGTTTCTGTAGCCAGTGTAGATGTCCTTGAAATAATTGGCATCGCTGCGAGCATGAATTACGAGTACTGGCTTACTATTTGTATCATCATAACAGCACACTACTTTGTAACCATAGCTGCATCCCGTGTGCTTTTGATATTTGTTTGTGTGAGAGTTAGTGCTATTAGGTTGGCATCCTTGTACCTTCTCAGTAACAGCCTCAAAATCTGCCTATATAACAAATGGTGCCGCCATCTGACTACGGTGGTTTTGGAAGTGGAGTGTATTTTTGTCCTTCTCTGGCATCCTAATAGCCTGCTCACCATTTATTACCATACAATTGGTCATATGCTCGTTAACTATCTCTTTATGTGCTGAAAAATTGGAGACAATGTATGCAGAAATACTTTCTGTACTGATACTTAGTCTTATTATACATCATTCTATCAAAATCCTTAACCAGCACATAATGTTGCTTCTCCCCCTCTGTAATCAACAGCAGGTTCAAAACAACCTTATTATGCTGTTTGGACACATACATAGGGTAAAATTGCTTGTTCCCATAGCCGAAAACGTTGATATTGATGCTGTTTTGCTCGTCTATTTTATCATAATGTTTGGTAGCAACAGAGAACTCAATACCTTGGTAATTTAACTTTTGTACCATCTGTCTATCTGATTTTTTGATCTGCTGAGGATTTCTTTCTTGTGGATTCAAAAGACAGACATGGCACCAGCAAAAACACTCATCCAGCCAGACACCAATACCATTCAATAATTGCTGCTGGGATAATCCCAGGCTTGGTAAAAAATCATTGGGGTTAATTATAATCTGTGCTTGACTATCGAAATACGCTGGTTATTCTAAACAAAGACATAGTCCTTGGCAACAGTAACCTGAAACGGCTCTCCCCTAGCAGTTTTGGAAAGCGGTATAAAAATCATCTCCTGAAATGTCAGTCATGGTTGGCCACTTCTGGGAGTGAAAGGATTAATGAAATAATACAAATTTGATGAATACTCAGCAAAAACGGGGACTTTTTGCCAATTATGTCAATACTTGGCTGAAACTCAAACAGGAGTCTGGTGGGTGGCCAGGGTGGTGTACCACAGACCAACAAAAGGAAGAGTATCTTAGGCGATTCAGGGGGGCACTTTTAAACATTCACAGAAGGGCAACTATTATCACTCCACTAAAGCAATACTTAATACTGTGCTTTGTATGATAATGTCGATAGAGATTTTGGAAAAAAGGGATCTTCTTAAATTCAGTTTACACCTGAACATCCACTTGTATATTATACTGTATTTGGTTAGCTGTATGGTTACCTATGTGATAAAAGAAAAATCAAATACAGACATATTTTACACAATCTTCAGTAAACACCTGATATATGAGTTTTTAAAGGTAATAGAGGAATTATACTGTTGCCAAACGACGCAAAACACTCAAGTTTTGCATGCTATGGTCGTTGCTTTTGAAAAAGTTTGGAGCTTGTTGGAATAAACTGTTGATGAACTAAGCAGCAGGTGATTCAGACTGATCTCGGGGATTAAGAAAGTGACGAACTTTTGAAGCATCAGTCACAATTCCAACGAACAATGTTTCTTGGGAGTGGAAACCCAAAGAAAAGGCAGCTTGGCAAATAAAGCTTCTCGGTCTTCGTCAGATAATTGGTTTTTGTTTCTTGGTCTCTTACTTTTAGTGTAATAGGTCTAACAGGGACGGGAGCGACTGTTTCTTTCGACCTGGAAACTTTGTTAACTGAGCTCACTTTAACTCAAAGTACTGGGGCGAGAAAATTCTGATTGTGCTTCAAGGGATTACGTTGCTTGCGGCCTCGAACTGCTTGGAGTTACTTGGTTTTTCTTACTTTCTTTTTTTGTCTTTGAATTGCAAGCAAGCATCTGCATATACAAGTCAAGAGGTGCCCCTGCTAAAGGAATTGGGCCACCCCAGCATTGCTGGGAAAATGGCGCTGACCTAGTAAGTTCATGAGATATTTGTCTGTAGATGGTACACAGTCAGAGGTACACATTGAAAGCTACTTTTGTTTTCCACCAAGGTATTTTGCTCACATGTACTGAATGAATCCTGAAAATATAGTAAGTTCAAGGTTAGGTCGCTATAAAGGGTCATATTATTTTTTGTTTTGCTTATGAGAATTTATTTTCAGCTCTCATGAGTCGAAAAGGTGCTGAACTGTCCACAGAGACAAAAGAATCAATTATTACTCTGTCGGAATCCGTGCAAAACAAAGCGGAACTGTCAAGAAGGTTCAACATTCCAAGAACGACTATCACGAGCGTTCTAAGCAAGTACCGAAGGACTGGCACAGTGGAGAGTTTGACACGAAGTGGCAGGAAAAGGAGCTTCACAAATAGAGATGTATAGGGATGTATAGGGATGTATTTGTTATGATGGTGTTGGAATTAGACAAGGACTTATGGCCAGTAGTTGTCTGGTATTTTGAAGGAAAAGAATACTTGTTCATGGATGACAGTGCGCCTGTTCACAGAG